GGCGGCGGCTGCGGCGGCGGTGGCGGCGGCGGGGCCAGAGCTTGGACGCGGCGGCCGCCTCCCCGCGGGCTCACCTGAGGCGGCGCGCGCGGCCCGGTCCGGAGCAGCGGCGCGCGCTCCCCCGCCCTCGGCGTCGCACCCCCAGGCCCCGCTCGGGCCGGGCCCCGCTCGGTCGCTGGCGGCCGAGCCCTCCGCGGGCGCCCCGGGCGGGGCTTATGAGGCCGCGCGCCAGCTCCGCCCTGGCTGCCATTGGCCCCCGAGCCCACGCCCGCGCGCCCATTGGCTGTCGCTGACAGCTCCGCCCCTCCCCTCCACCGGGTCCATCAACATCTCACGGCCCGCCCCCCGCGCGCCTCGATTGGGGGGGCGCAGGGGCTGGCCTCCCCTCCCCATTGGCTGACCGGTCGGGACACGCCGGCGCCCACCCACGTGCCCGCTGACCGGCTCCGTTTTCATTGGAAGCGGCGCACGCCAGCCAAGGGAGCCGCTACCAACCCGACGGTGGCTGGGCCTCGGATTGACAAGGGCGCCTCGGGGACCGCCCAACGACCGCACGGGAGCAAGTGAGCATTGGCTTACGGGGTGAGCCCGAGGCGCGGACTGGCTGACGCGAATGCCAATCAGGGCCCGGGCCCCGCCCCGGTTATCAGGCTGCAACTGAGTACGTGAGACCCAGCACAACATCAGCACCAGGCCCTGGAGGCACGGGAAAGGGGTTCGAGACCGGTGGCCGGAACTTGGACGCAGAGTTCCCCAGTTCATTAAGTCCTGACGTGGGAAACAGCTCTGGTGCAACCCCTTTTGCAAAACAGGAGAACTAAGAACTGGAGAAATAAAAAGTCACGCAGCAAGCGTCCCTCCTCTGCCCCCCCCGCAAAAGCCAAATTTATTCCCATCACAATCAACAAAACTTTGCAAATCGGCAAGGCCCACCGGGTAGTTAAGTGCGCGCCCCCGAGTTCCCTAACACGAGGCAGTCCCTAACACCACGGTTCCAAGCTCAGCTGGGCCCCACGCCTCACTGGAACCTCGCTGGGCCTCAGTCTCCCCTGTGAAGTGGATAGGATGGTAACACACACACACAGCCGACCCTGCCGGCCCCTCCCCAAGGGATGTTGCAAGGATGAGTGGGACGCCACACACAAAGGGTTTGAGCTGGTGGCTTCATCCGAGTGGGTTCACCACTGTCTTCATCGTTAACTACTTGAGCAGTAGGCAACAGTGGGGTGCGCCCCGGGTAGCGGGCAGTCGTGTGAATCGGCAGCAGGGCGTTTCCCAGTAATATTTGTGTTATCCACATTGTACCCCCCAGGGAGGTCAGGCACCCCGAGTAACCCCCCGGAGCTCACGCCTGCAGCGCCAAAGGTGTTGCTCTACACACCCACTTTCAGGGTCCTGGCCAGCTAATCTGTGGCACAGGGCACTCTGCAGCACTTCGAACTGTGTAGCAGTTTAACAAGAGGGCAGTCTCCAAACACTGTCCTGGAATGATCCCCTGCACACATTCGTGAGCAGGCTGCAGAATGGTCCAGAATTCGGTGTCCAGTAACCTACGATATGGGGAAGACACACCGAGACCCGAGTCGTGTGGTCTCCAAGAGCATGCATCCGAGGCAATGCAGAGAAGGGCCACCGCGGAAGGGAGAAAAGGAAATCTTTGGAGGGAGGAGAGATCCACGTGGGTAGAAAGGGTAATCTGGGGCGCCTGGACGGTTCAGTCATTAAGCCTCTGCCTTCGGCTCGGGTCACGATCCCGGGTTCCTGGGATCGAGCCCCGCATCCGGCTCCCTGCTCAGTGGGGAGCCTGCTTCTCCCTCTCCCACTCCGTCTTTCTCTGTCAAGTAAATAAATAAAATCTTTAAAAAGAAAAAAAAGAAAGGGTAGTCTGTGGGGACTTGAATCTGTTCAGGGAGATTGTCCCTTCTCGTGGGACCATATTCACAGACTCCTCATGTAGTTAAAATTAAACTTTAAAAATGGGAAAGAACATCTGCCCCCAAGGAACTCCCTAAGCTGTGGGAGAGACAAATGGCATTTGATTTTGGTAACACAGTATCCAACGTGCAACAATGGAGGTTCCCCCACCCCCAAAAATACACACAGGC